ATTTTTTTTTCTCTCCTTTTAACTGTTAATCGGTGCCCTGGGCCTGCAAACAGAATGTCGGTTGGTTTGGGCACCTAATAAAGGTGATCTCCACCACCTGTATGGGAAGAAATTTAAAAAGGAAGAGGAAGAAAACATAACATGGCGAAAATTTCAAACTAAAATATGTGCGGTTTAGGCATGTGTTTTAAAAGCATATTTAATGCTACAATTTTTAATGAAAGTTAAAATTAACTAATTCGTTAATTAATTGTTATTGCTGACATCAGGTTTGTTATTGTATTATCATAATCAACCAATGGCAACTATTATTTGTATATATCTTGATCATGCAAATATCATGCGTACGTGTGACAATATTGACACAGTGTAGAGAGAGTCAAATCGAAAGAACCGCTAATGAGTCGGATCATCTGAGACTTGCAAAAGATCGAGATTAAGGACAGAATAAATTCATATCAATATTGTGACCGATTTCTAACGAATACCTGACATGAATCAGATATTAAAATAATTTGCATAATTTTGACGTTATGAAATGACATCAATATTTGGCCGTTCTCAAGCTCGAGCATGGATTCTGTCGGCTCAAACCAACTTACTTGTAACTTGCCTAAAACATTTGACACTCTAACATGAAATACATGGTATTACTATACGTGGACGAGGAAATGTCGGTCGTGGACATCATCCTGTTTCATAGGACAATGTGCAGTGTGGGGACACCCCCCAGAATTTCAAAGTTCTTTGAACTTGAAAATGGTATTGTAAATTATAGTTCCCTCGGGGACATTGTGATGGTTGGAGATTTTAATTGTCGTACAGGTATTTTACCTGATTATATCAAGAATGATGTAATTCATTCCAGTATTAAAAATTGCATCTCAAATATAATAAATTATGAACCTGATGACGGTTTAAAAATGTGTTGCTGTAACCATCCCTGATGCCGTTAGTCAGTCTGATATTAACACTAGTGTGAGTAGTTTTACTGAAATACTGATGAAATCTATGGAACCTTTCCTTGTAAAATTAACTAAATATTGTGATGCCAAGCAAGATAACCATAATTATACATGACGAGATGGGTTAATCAATTTTAATACTGACAAACCATGGTTTTAACAATATATTGGACTCTGGTCTCTATCCTGCTGATTGGGCAGTTGCTGTAATTACACCGGTACATAAAAAGGGTGACCTAACTGACCCTAACAATTTTAGAGGTGTTAGTACGGTAAGTTGTTTGGGAAAATTATTCACTTCTGTTTTAAACAATAGACTTTTAAAATGGTCAGAAACATATGATGTAATAACTGATGCTCAATTTGGGTTTAGACCTGGTCTTAGTACAGTAGATGCTATATTTTGTTTACATTCTATTATTTCCAAATCATTTATTAATAAGAAAAGATTGTATTTTTGCTTTGTCGATTTTCGTAAAGCATTTGATATGGTAAATAGAATAAATTTATGGAATAAGCTATCAAAACTTGGTATAAGAGGAAAGCTATTAAAAGTTGCAAGGTCTATGTACTCTCATGTTAAATCTTGTGTTAAATTAGATGGAAAGTTGTCAGATTTGTTTCTTAACAGGGTTGGATTATAACAAGGTGAAATTCTGTGACCGATATTTTTTTCTATGTATATAAATGATTTTGAATCATATTTTATACAAAATTGCAAGGGTAGTTATGAGTTTGAGGAACTCAGTTTATATCTGATGCTATATGCTGATGATCTAGTATTATTCTCCGAGACTGTAGGTCTCCAAGGTATGCTTGATAACTTAGAAAAGTATTGTACTGAATGGAATTTAACTGTAAATGCTGAAAAAACAAAAAATGTAGTTTTTTAGAAAAGGTGGAAGATTGCATAATGATGAAAAATGGTATTACAAAGGAAGTAAGGTTGAATGTGTGGATCAATTTCCTTACCTAAGTTTTATTTTAAAGTACAACAATAAATTCACATCTATACAAAAACAATTAGCTAGCCAAGGACGAAAGACTATGTTTGCATTATTTTCAAAGTGTTCATCATTAAACTTAACTGTAAAAACTATGATCCACCTTTTCAAAACATATGTAAGCAGTATCCTTTTCTATGCAAGTGAACTTTGGTGTATGCACAAAGCTTCAGAGATTGAACATGTACATTTACATTTTTGTAAGAAACTACTAAAAGTGAAGAAATCGGCCAATAACAACATGGTATATCTTGAATTGGGACGGTTACCTCTAGTTTGGATGAGAAAAATTAGAATGATAAAATATTGGTTTAAGATATTAAAATCTGACAATTGTATTATATCAACTTCCTATAGGTTTTTATTACAGTG